TATTTATTCAAATTTTGATTTTTAGAATTTTGAAGTATACTTAAAGACCTCTTAAGGAGTATCCTGTGGCGATACTAACTTATGTTTCTTTAAATGAGAACCCTCTCTTTTTACTGAAACTTTTTTGGCGGATATTTTTTTCAAAATTTTGATGTATCTTAATCAAAATTCTAATGAGTAGTTTCTGAGTCAATGAAATGTTTATACGAAAGGTAATAATCCTTGTATATGTAATGTTAATGAAATATTTATTGTATACTTGAATCATTTTTACAGATTATTTATATTGATAAATCAATAGTATTTGCAAACTTTTTCAAATCGTTTAAGCCTCCTATCTACTTATCCTTAAAACACAAAGTTATATACCTAACTTAAAACTAATAGGTTGAATTTTGATTTAGATACATTTAAGTTACAAAAAAAATCTACTTATTAAGTAAAAAATTTWAAAAAAGAGTTTCCTATTTGAAAAAACCAAAGTTTGTTTTGTCACAGGAAATCCTTAAGAAGTACAAAATATGTCATTGATCCRAAAAATGGTCTTCAAGTGTRTATAAAAATTCCAAAAATCTGAATTTTAATATATGCGCACAATTAAACCATAAAAATAGGATGATGGGCATGCTCAAAAAATCACTCTGTGCCTATATACAATATGTACTCGTATTATYGTGATCTGCACACTCGTATTKCAGCTCACGTCATTTAAGTCGAAGTAGAGTATATGTCTGCGCAAAAACTCTCGAATTTTCTCACAGCGCGCCAMCAAAATAAGTCCTAAGCCGCAGACAAYCAACCGTTAGTATCATATTTTTTGCGTGGAYGATTTAAATTTTTGCACTCAATTTCGTAATCATCCATTCGATCRCGTGTTTCCGATATTATTATAGACCTAATTATAATATATTGTTTTACCTTGAAATCGGCCGTTGTGGTAGACGAAGAAAACTTTGAAAATAATTTTCTTACGATGAAAATATTATTGTTGTTATGATGATAATCGCGGTCGCGTGCAYATACGTTATATTGCGCAGAAAAAAACACCACTTATAAGTACACGTGACTCACGTGACACGATTATCACCACGTTGTATATTATATACATAAAAAAAAACTTGTAACGACGACGATGATGACGGATAAGACGATAATAATAATAATAATAAATACGTATAAGACGACAACGTCTTGAGGACGTTATGTGTGTGTGTGTGTGTGACCGCTAACAGGGTTAAGATATATTTATATTATAATATGATTATTATTATTATTAGTATCGCATACACATATTTTGCGGTCTTGTAAAATACGTATATAATATGCAGTCRTCATGACATGTCTGCTCGCCGCCACCGCCAAAAGGCCGTAAGACCCTAAGAATATAATATTGCTCGTCCCCTAGGTCGTAAAAAGAGAAAGAAATAAATAAAAGAAAAACGCAAAGACGGCGAAGCCATTTTTATCGTCGCCGGACGGACGCGTTTAACCGTCGAGGGGTGACCGACTCGGATCTGGTTTCGGATTATGCGGCACACAGAGACGAGACACGGCGGAGTATTATATTATTATAAATCAACCTCTTTAACATACGCACATGACGATAATAATAATTAAAATATACAACGAGCGTGTCGTTCACAGATTCTTTGTACACAGCGGGGTTTATGTATTCATTTATTATTATCATTACTATTATTATACGACTAGCCGCCTCTGCAGCCTCTAAACGACGGTATAATTATTTCGTTATTATTATTAT